TGCGAATTATAAATAAATTTTATCGCGCACTTATTTTTCTAAACTTTCCTTATTGTTAATTTCTGTTTAAATTTATTATAGTTGCGCGACCGCGTCCTGAAATGACAAATATTTTCCTTTTCTCCTACTCGATAAATTGATTGTCTGTTGACGAATCGAATTCAAACAAGAAAAGCAAGAGAAGATCCGCATCCGTCGATGTGAGAAAAGATTCTCTGAAACGGACTGACAATGAGCATCGCTGACAGTTTTTATAAGTATATATACATATATATATATAGATTTTTTTATATTTAAATAAATTAAACTGAGAATATTTCAATAAATAATTTCTTTTAGTGAAATAAATAAATCCGACGATCCTTTAAGAGGATTCAAGCAATTTATTAAACTTTCCGTTTATGATATTATCCAGATACGTCGTTAAAAATTGACAGACGGTTGCGAGAGTTTGCGAAAAGGATGGAAGACTCGCCGCGCTTCGTAAGAGCGACGTCGATCGATTCGCGCGATCCCGTTTGGAGAGAAACCGGCGAACTTGTTTTGAATTATGTTCGGAGGATAACGAGCTGCGGCAGGATGTTAGATAGTTGAAAATCCGTGTATTCTCTTTTATGCAAATATTCAAGCTTGTCCACTTCTCTCGTCCGTGACGAACGACGTGGCGCGATAAACGTTTATTAGTCGGCGACGATAAGCATTTTTCGCGGATTACATCAGCGCGACGAACGGAATCAATACGAAAACTTTGTTACGTTCGAGAAAACGTAATTTCACGCGTTTAATGGTCGCGAAATCGCGTTGCATCCCGCATTCTATCCGCACACGTTTTCCGAAACGATAAGATAGCGAGAACGAGCGAAACACACTCGGCGCGTTTCTCCTCGCTATCGGCAAAACGCGCGCGTATATACAATAAAACAACATTCATTTTTTGCGTCGAAATTCGTCGCGCGTAATATTTCAATCCCAAGGCGTTGCGTAATGTATTCTATTTCGCGCACCGATGATTATTGCAGGTGAGCGGAGATGAGAAAGCGAGCCCACCAAGATCGAAAACTCGCGCGCTCGATCACGCCATCGCACTTCCACTCACTTCGGGTATCTATCGACTCGAGGCGCGCTTCTATCTAAATGTATTAATTAAAGATAATAATTCAACTCTTTCTCTTTGATGTTTAATTGGTCTTTTATTCCCCGATTCTGTTTCTGAGAGAAACAAAATACCAGATAATTAATAACTGAATCAAACCACTGCTTCACAGACCGTAAATCCTTTGCTAATCGTCGAGAGGCAATTGTATTTTTTCTTCCCTCGAGCCCGAGGCTAAACTTCTAAACTTTAATCTAGTTCATCATTCCAACCCGTTCGCTGCTGTGCGCATAAATAGTACACGGGAAAAAAAAGTTTGCTCTAGAATAGCGATTAGTTGCTATACACGGCCGGCAAGAAAAATTTGCTTTAAGCCTATTGAATATTTTTTATCTTGTTCACAAAACGTTTTGCTAATGAAACAAAACTTTCGGTAGACTCAGCAATTTGTTCTTGTTGGTCTGGTATAATAGCAACATTTTTTTAACGTACACCCCTTAACATACACTCCAGTAACGTGCGCATCAATCAGTCAATGATCTCAGTTATCTCGCGAAATTATGCGCTGTTTAATGTTTTGCGCGCACACAAAGTGCGAACATATATTTATCCTTTCGTGCGATTAATTCACATTTGCACATACAAGCTCCACGGTGATTAATTAATCACTTTCGATCGATATCCCGCTAAACACTTCTCTTCGCGATATTTTGAAATTAATTGCCGATATCTTTCAGCGGTTTACAGACCGCGAAATCACGAATGCGATTTCGCACAAATAAATAATTCATCGGTGCTTTTATCGAAATAAATCGCAGAAAACAGCACAGATCGCGCGTATATAGAAAAAAGTCATTTACGTAAGTGTCAATTTACGCACGTGCAAACGCATACCATCTCGCGTCGCGCTAGTTGATTGACCTCGATGTTCATCGCATAGCGATCGCGGTAAGGTAGGTGTCTGCATTCATTAAATTCGCGCGATTCAACACGCGCGAACGTATCGCGCGAAACTCTCGAAATATCGTTTCATATCGCGCGTGCGCGCGCGATGCAAATTCACACACGCGGTTACGCGATGATATTTCACTATGATTTTGTAAATTGCAAAATTCGAGATCAAAATTAATGAAACTTTCTTCGAACGAACACTCATTTTCTTGAGCGAGCGATTGTATCTCGTTTAATATTTCACCGCAATGTTCGTGAAACAGCGGAACGTTGAAAAAACCGACTCGCGCGCGCGCGGAATTCCCGAAAACATTTCTGTTTAGAGCCGGAGTTTCGATATGAAGTTGAAAACCGTTCGCGCGGTTGTGTATTCAGGCAAAAACTATTTTGTGGCAGAAGAAATAAGCGTGGAGAAGAGCTCTCGCTAGTAGACCAGTCAGGGTCGAAAGTTAATTTATAGCCGCCGCGTTAGACTATATTTAGAAATGTGCCGTTTCGAGGTCGAGAAAACCTTGCCAAAAATCTTGTCGGATCATCCCATTCGCTTCTTAATTGAGCCATTATTTTTTAATTGTTCGCTTTTTGAATTGCAACAATTTTTTTCGCGCGAATTTTCAACGCTTCTGCGATATTCCGAAGTTTTCTTCCCAAGGTCGTTCCGTCTGAAAACGGTGATAATTAAGCACGGACTTTTGAGAGAAAGGCCTTGACACTTTATCGTAAGCGAATAACGAGCTTTTTTCGACACGAGAGCGCGCCTTCTCGCTTTATTTTTACGAGAGAAGGGAGAGAAACAGAGAGATAAGGAAGTGCGATAGGACACCACGATTTCCTTCACCGAGAGCTAATCGCGATCCCGTGGGAACCTTCGCACACCCTGCACTCCCGCAAAATAAATTCGCGAGCGACCCTTTTAAAGTTTGCTGCAAACAAACAGTTGCGGAAAAACTAAGTCTCTTATCTCGGCGCGCCTGCTGTTGTATTTATCGCTTATTCGTGTCATTTGCTAGATTTCTTTTCTTTGCTTCGCGCGTAAAATTCGCGCGATGAGATTTAAAACACAATTGCGGGAACACGTGAAAGCAAGAAGCTGAGATATTGTATTTTGTTCTGAACGAAACTAAAAAGACTTTTGTAAATCTAGCGATAAATTTGACAAATTCCTATTACTCTTTTAGAAATTTTTAATCATAAAAATTCCATGTTTGTTTAAATAAATAAGTTTTTGCGGAACTATATATTGTTATCTTTTCAATTTGTTTTACAGCGTTGAGTTTTATTGCCGGTATAATTTTTGTTGCGTCTTAGAAAAAAATAGCGAACTTCCACAGGCGCAAGATAAAAGCGTAAAAACAGACAGCGCAATTCTTTAAGGTGTAAATTAATTTTCTCACCTCCCGACTATAATCCGCCATTGTGTAAGGCTTAGAAAGCCGCGGGAGATATTACACGATATCACGTCGCAATCTTAAAACGCAAGAGCAAATTTACTCAAACCCCGCTATCGACCTGAAGTCACGTTATGAAAAGGCTATCTCGTTTTCTCGCGCATAATCGAGATGCACGACGCGCACTCTCGCCGGGTTTCGAATCGGAATGGCGCAGATAACCAGAGAAGAACGCTCATTAGAACGGGGCGCTGCATTTTTACACGAAAACGCGCGTTCCCCATTGTGTATTCTATGCCTGACATTCCTCGGATCCAATTTCCATCGGTACGGCTACTTCTCAACATCTGCCCGTTTTTCACGTTCACGGATCGAATTCGCTTATAAGTGAAATATAAAACCACCTATCAGATGGTGAAAATATATGTTGTTCCATAAAGAAGTCTAACAAAAAAAAAAAAAAAAAATAAAGAAATTTCCACATTTATCTAAAGGACTCGGGTGGCGCGTCCTTTAAAAAGAGAAACCGAAGAAGAAGATCCTTCGACAGACAACAAACAAAAGTCCGAGCTCGACTCCTGTTCACGAGATATTTCACATCGCGATGGTGTTTTTTAAAATTCACAGAGAGATAAAAGGTATATCGTTTCCATTTACGAGATGTAAAGAAACATCCGATATAGACTTTCTAATTGAATTTAATTCGAATTATAATGTAGATTAATTTACACTTTAAAATCTTTCGCACGCACATGCAGCGCTTGGTTCTTACTTGGTTTTTATTATTTTTCTCGATAAAAATAAAAGTTGCTTGACGTTGAGAAAAAATGAGAAAAAAATTTAAACACACACGCTCGTAATTTTAATAAATAAATTCAACACAGGTCAAAATTAGAATTTTTCTGAATCGAATTATTTTTACAAAAAGGGATCAAAGTACCTGCGCAACAATCCCGGCTATTATTAACGCTGGCATTTTCTCAAAGCGTCGCAAAAGCAAATTGTTTAAAATAGCACGGAAGAAGAGGATTAAATATATCGCGCGTGCGTTCACGGAACGCGCGTGTGTTCTCGAAAATATTTCGTTATCTTGTAGCTAATATACATTTCTTTGACTTTGTCATGTTTTTTCTCCTTGATGTCTTCAGAAACGCGTCGTAAACACGTTCGCAACTTTTGCGCCGTGTGTCCCGCTCGAGCGAGCAGTAAGTACAATATAAAGAATGCGATTCCAGCGATCGCGTCGGTTATAATTTAGTCGTTTCTTTTTTTTTTTTTTTTGCGCTTATCTCGCGTTATCTCGCGCGCGGTAATCGACAAGTCCGGTTACGTCGTCGTGTGTCGCAATGACGAGACGTTTATTTTTACGCCGCGTCGTTGATGATAAAGAAAAAAAAACGAGACTCACGTCGCTTTTTTTTTTTTTTTTTTTTTTGGATCGAGGAAGAAGCGCGACCGTTGCGACACAACGGAGCGAAATTTTTTCGCCCGCACCGTTATGTTCCGTTTTTTCGTCGCGAACTCGCCATGGGAGATACTCACTCTCTTTATGCGTCACGACTTAGACAATGGCGAGAGAAATTACGCCGGTGAATGTCGTGAGAAACCCGGTGAGCGCCGTTGGCTCATTGTCGGAACGGCTCGTGTAATTGGCAGCATCTCGTGCTCGAGATCTTCGACCCACGGTGGTGTCCCATTCCGCGCCGAATACGAGAGCGAGCGTGTGTGGAGCGGAAACGCGTGCGGTTTTCGACGCTGCGAAACAACCGGTGACAAAACACTCGGCTCACCTTTGCGTTGACCATCGTTTCTATGTTACTGAGCGCGAGGCATAAATATTTTTTAATAACTTCGAGATGTGTTTTTTGTATAATTAACCAAATATTTTTTGTTGATAAAAATAAGATTTTTTATAAGATAGAAATTTTTTTAAACTCTCGTCTGTGTTGTCAAATTAAATTGAGAACGGAATCACGGGAATTCGAACTATAAGTGATTTTAAATGTATGTTACACGAACGCACTTACGAAGATATTGCATTTACATCATCGCGCTCCGAAGATACGTAGAATATTTGTAATTTAGTTCCCGAGAGATAAAATGAACGATTTAATGCGAGCAAAACGCGTCATTTTAAACGCAGCAAGTTAAAACACGTTTTATCAAACGTGATCCATTTTTTTATGATCAAAAGTGAGACTGCCGACGTATTATCTCTATTAATTATCTGCGCGATAGAGTGCCGTAATCCCGAAGCTTCCCATCAATCGCGAAGTAAGCACGGCGTCTTTAAATAAGTCTGACTAAAGGTGTTTGGATCTTCTGATGCCGTCAGAGAGCAATTTGCATTGAAATTAATTACGGCTTTTGTTGCGAAACATATTGGAAACCTCGCGCGACTCCAAACAAAACGTCTTTCTTCTTTTTATCTCAAATTTTTTCTTCGATCTCTACCACCACGCGCATAGAAAATCGAACTTATTTGATAACGCGTATTGATAACTCATTAACTTGCGGCGCTTCGCTCGCAAGAGAAATCGACCTCGAAAATTCGTCAAGGAATTTTGTCACCAGGAGAAAGCGCATTACCGCGTTGTCTCGTCATCCGTCACACGTTATTCAATAAGTAAGCAAATGTTCTTCGTGTTCTTGTTCTTGAAACGAGCGCGCGCATCGGGTGCAAATTCCATGCACGATTCTCGCTTCGATAAATAACTCGATACACACGAGCGATCCGGCCTGGAGTGTGACTATCATTTCTCGTGTGTCGCGAAAACGCACATGCGCGATGTACTCTTTGATACATATATATACACATACACATCTGCCTCGTACCTGATGTTGCGATCGCAGAAATCCGCGACGCGCGAGGAGAAAGACTCTTTCCCGGGGAACGCGCTCTCCTGACCGGCAGCAACGCGCGCGCGAGGACGTTTCCGCGAGATATTTGCATACAATCCCCGAGAGACGGGGGCTTCAGGAATCCGCGGAAAGCGGCCGACCGGTTAGTCTCCTCCGTCTTTCTTCCCTCCTCTTCTCGTTTACCTTCTCGTCCGGTGCAGCCGCGTCGCGTTCCTCTTCGTTCGGGTCACACTTCCTTCCGGTTCCTGTCTTCCGAAGAGACGAAGGATCCAACCGGCGGGATCGGGCCTCGATTCGTTCGATTTTTTTTTCCCTGGACAACACACGCGAAAACTCGAAGGATACGATCGGAGCAAACGATCGTCAAGCAAACGCCGGGCGAAAGGTGCCGCGCGGTCGAGAACCCAGCTAGCACTGGTGAGGCCAACAGGTGAGCCGTGCCAGCGGTTTACGGCCAGTGGCGTATCGAGTCGGTATCCTGCCGAGGGCAACAGGTGTGACGCCGCGGCGAGAGAAACGTGTCAGGAGCGTAAGCTGCCGCACGAAAGACGCTCTCTCGGCTCGCCAATTACCTGCACAGTTAGTGCAGGTAATCCTTCCCTGAGGCGTTTAAAATTACCGGGCCATTTTAAAATTGTTACTCTTTATATATATAAAAAGTACAATAGAGAGAGAATTTACGGATGGGAGGAAAACTCTCGCAAAGTACACGTTCAAAAGATTCATTAGAGAGGTTGCGCTTTCCAAATAAGCAAACGTGACAGAGTTTATTTTCCTTTGTTCATAGATTTTCCGAGCTATGCTGGAAAAAAACGCGGTCGTATGAAACAAACAAAATGTTACGCGATTCAAAACCATCGCGAAAAACAATTTAATGTGAACACGTTAAGCTAACAACCGGATATTTTTTGTCAGTGTTTTGTTTGTCAAGTTTGTCAAAGTTTTCTGTTTTGTATTTTTAATGTTTGAAGTTATTGCTTTAACACTGTTGTGTGTTGAATCGTTTATTCAGTTTTACCACATCCCACGCGTCACTTTGCCGGGAGGTATTTGAAAAAAAAACATTTTATTCGTTACTAGTTTTGAGTTATTTTTAAGTAATTAATTAACAAAAAGAACTTTCAGCCGCGCAAAGATTTCTAATATTTTGCACTGAACTAACTAATCGGAACATTTGGCGTAATATTTAAAACGAGCGATCTGAAATCTTGCAACGGAAAATCGAACAATGGGGAGATAACAATCGAGAATAAAAGATGCGCGATCGATAGACATGTTCAATAATTATGCGCGGCGTAATGTTAATTGGAATTCACTGCGGAATTGGCCCTGAATTGAGCTGTGGAGCTTTATGGAAGAGAACCGGTTCTCTTCCCGAATCCGGAAGAAACATATGTCGAACAAATGTTGCCGGATAATTCACTGACGCTTCGCCGGCTCTCGTAAATATCGACGATCGCGGTTTCCGACACGGAGCTTCTTCATATCCGCATTTCTACTTGACGAGCGCGCGCTTCGCATTTATTCGCGCAACGAGAGAGCTTACATTCCCTAATAATTGTTTTTTTTTAATATCCAGTATACATGTCCGATCATTGAGACATTTAACTTAATGGTAATTAATTAAAAATCGAACAGTATAATAGCTTGAAAATCGAAGCGTTTCAAATTCGACTTTTAACCGTATTTTTCTTAATTAATAACAATATAATTACATTTACTTAATTGATAACAATAAAATTACATTTGCTTTGAACACACACGTGTGTTGACCTTTGCGTAATATATTCAAAAGCAGACTGCCTGGCGGCGGGCGGTAACGACGACGATAAACGCGAGCTATTGCGTTTTCTTATATATGCATACACTCGGCAGTTCGTCTGATGCTCCTCATTATGCTTCTCTTTATAGCCGCATCCCTAGTCTATCATTAATGTACCGTGAATGGTTTCGCGCGGTTGAGCTTTTCCTGGAACGAAGATTAATTGCGCGCGCGCGCGCGCGCGCATCCTCCATATCAGTTTATTAAATTGATTACGCGACCTTACTCGGCATCAACTACCGTTCGATAACGAGAAAAACAAAATCGCGTACGTTTGCTCGAAAACGTTAAAAGTTTTCCAACCAAAAAGAGGAATCTCGCCGAACATCTCGATTCAGACGCTCCATTATAAAGTTAGACGCGCGAATGAAGAACCGCGCGAGTGAGGTAATAGGAGATCGCAAAGAGATACTTTACACAAGATCGAATTCGATCGTATATATATATCGAATGTAGGTTACACTCCAATCCGGCGACCAACACTGTCACTTCCTTTAACGGCTTTTCTCCTCGGCGCGAAGTAAAAGTGCCGAGCCCGCTCTTTTTGCGCAATCCTCTCTCATTCAAATCATCCGACCGATTTCGCATTCCGAAAGCGTTTCGCGCGCATCCCGAGAGAACGCCGCAACACACAGCTTTTGTGTCGTCTCTCATGCAAATCCGCCCACACGCGGATCTGTATAATTTTCACATATAGCTTCTGTTTCCTGCGATGACCGCGACCGACGTGACATAATCGACGTGCGATTAAGATCGATCGTTTTTTTTTTTACCAAATGCGCTCGCAGAGACGTCGTCTCTTTTCCCCGCGTGATCAGATACGGCGCCACGTTCTTTTTTTTTTTTTTTTCTCGTTTTAATAATACAAACGATTACGTAATTAGACACGATCGTCGAAATGAAATACATCTATCTGCTGTGAAAACATCGATACAGAGAGAAGAAATTTATGTAACGCAATTTGCGACATCGGTCTTACGCGCGTGTTAAATTAATTTCAACCTCCTCCGCATTGTTATCGTCGCGAGGAAACTCGAAGGAGAGTCATGAGTTATGAGCTCTTAAAGTGAATTACGTGTGTCACATAAGCGTAACGAACAGCGGGTATTAAATTACGAAATAATCCCTGTGGAAAGGACAATTTTGTGTCACGAGCGATTATAATTGCGTTATGAGGATATTTTTTTTTTTTTTTTTTTTTTCGTATGACACTGCGTAGGCGCGCAACATGCGCCATAAAACGAGTCACGAAGTGACACAATGGAGATGTCGCAGACGAGAGAACGGTGGCGAGTTGCGCTAAATCGCATTTTCCACTAATCAATCATCAATCGCATCTTCTAGAAACGCGCTTCACGCGGGTGTTCGTTGTTCGCTCCGTTGATAGATCCCGCACGTCTGTTTGTCACGCGAGCGGTTTGTGCGAATCCATCAACTTCATAAAAGTGTAGAAAATGCGATAAATTGGCACTTAATTTGTGCGATTTTTCTTTTGCGTAAAAATATAAAGATTGAAAATTATATACATTTTTACACTTAACAACCGATGTTGCTATTTGAAATTCAAGTTTCAAATTGTATATTGTTTTATATGTTCGCGAATGGATTTTTTTTCAAACATTATCTTACACTTGATATTGTGCGACATATTGTGCGCAAAAGAGATAATTTATTTAATAGTGCTGTATACGGTATGTTATCTTCGCAAAGGAGCTGCGTATATTCAGTATTTACCAATCGAGTTTCACGAAGGAAGACGTACTTGACATTTTGCCAACAGATGTCGCCATCTCAGAGAAAGAGAGAACTGAGAGAGATAAGAGAGAATAAAATATTATCAATTTTTTTGAGTCAATGCAAAATGATTTATCCGTTAAAAACGTTTTAATGCTTATTTATACAACTGACACAAGTCTTTTAATTTAATTTCTCAAAGTAATAATATTTTACATAAAAATTATTTTTGTTTCACATTTTAAACAATCACAAATATTGTTAGAAAAAAAATAAGATCTCATTTATTTTCACTTATTTGTTGCCGATATACACGTACACGTGTCGCTTCAATTAATTCGCGGTAAATTATTGTAAAATTGATTTTATTTCGTATTTGCCAAGCAAACGTAGTTTTTATACGTGATATCGTGCAAAAATGCACATATCTTTCTTTAATTAATTTAACATTAATGTCGCTGACACAACAGAGTCGACTTATCTGTGCTCGTACATAACGTTCCTATCAGCAGCTGCGGTGTCCGAGTGGTTAAGGAGTTGGACTCGAAATCCAATGGGCTTTGCCCGCACAGGTTCGAATCCTGTCCGCAGCGATTATTTTTTTTCTTAACTAAATCCATACCCCGTTCTTTTTTCGCACATAATTATTACGTAATCGATATAATGACACGATTGCATACGAACATAATTGTGTATTATCAGTTTATTGATTTTAAATAAATTTTATTGTCATTCTTGATATCGATTGCTTGGGATCTTGAATCATTACGCAATTAATTCTGGCATTTTTATCGACATTGTTATTATTTTACATACGTATTTTATTTTTATTTTATTTTTTTACATACGTATCTATATTATTATTGTTCTTTTTCACATAAGCTGTGTGTGCGAAATATTATGGATGTTAAAAAAATTAATTAGGTAACTAACGCAGTTATAAATTATAATATTAATTTATTGTTCATTTGTTGTTCGAAACCTAGAAAAAATTATTCAAAAATATCTCATACCTATCTCTTGGCTCTGTATCCGTACTCAGCTACACCTGAAATAATCATCAATCAGATGGCATTTCAGACTCGTCGTCACACAAAATTTATACGTTCACATAAGATAGAGTTAACTTTAAGATACAAGCAGTCAGAGAGATGATAAAATTGTCGAATCTCGTTCTCGACAGGAAACAGTTTTTGCACACTATCAGACTTTCCTCAAACATTCGGTTTACGATAAGTTTACGACAGAATTATCAGAGAGAAGCGTCCGTCCCGTCTAGCCGCGGCGAGGAAAAAAAAAAGACGGGAACTCGACGGTGACGAACGAATTCCTCGGCGGAGGAGACACGTCCAGCGCGCATTTAGGTTCAGTCGCGATTAAGCCACTATCTCAATTGACCTCTGGCCCCACCACGACCACCACTACCACCCTCTCTCGCTTCGTTATCTCCGATGAGTATGGACTGACCCTCACGGCGGCTTTCTTTCACTTGACTACGAACCACCGTTCGCCAAAGATGAACCGAAACATCGTGCTCGCCGCCCTGGTCTTGTCCGTCGTCTACGCGGAAGTTGTTCATTTCACATCGTGTCCACCCGATCGTAAGTATATTTTCTTCTCGCGCTAACCGAGACGCAGTAACGCGAGAAAGACTCGGAAATAGGTGACACGTTTCTCGACGCGTGGACGATTGACAAATCGTCGTGAGCGCGAAAAAACAAGAGAATATTAAATCGCGTTGTTTGGATCACAATATTTTTTTTATACCGTCATTCGGACTGTTACCGCGATTCGAGTGCGTTTTTTTTTTCCCACATTCTCGGAACAACGAACTTTTTACGCGGTTTGACGCGATTACGATGCATCGATCGCGCGCGTAAATAAGTCGGACGTATATAATAATCTTAAACTCTGGAATGGCTTTCTCGGAATGACGCGATTTCTCGTTGCGTATTTTTATTTCCTCGTGGTATCTCGGGGTAAGGTTATTTAACGAGCATCGTCGATGTGTGAAGTATTCGGTTTATAAATCTGTGCGCACGCGCACGCGCGCGATCGTAAGAATTGTTTATCGAATTGTAATTTCTTTTTTAAGTCGGGAGAAAAATTGAAATAAAACGCTCTCTCATTAATCCCAAACATCAGAAAATTAATTGAAAAAAGAAGAACTTGAGCGAGACGGCGAAGATTTTGAGACGAGTAACACTTGTTCGCTCGATAAATGTTGAATTTAAAGAAATTATTTCTTGTTGTACAGACTGAAGAACTCGGTAAGAGTGGAAACGTATTTTTGTGAATTTACGTATAGAATTAAAAACATTCAAATTAATTCACTCGCAACATCTTTTCTCTCCGCCGTGACTCCAGAGACCTATCTTTAATTAATCTCAGGAAGAAAATATCCACGTTCGCATCCGCGCGCAGGTTTGAATAGTATTACGGTAATAATAATTCTCGTTCCATTCCATTGTAAAACGGAGAATGCGTGCGCAGGACGCATTGTGGTTTGTCTTGGCGGACAAAAGCTATACCGAACAAACAGCATATAACCGTCTTAAGATCTATAAACGTGCGACAAGCGAAGAAGAAAGACGAAGATTGAAGGCAATAATGTGTGTCTGTTCTCTTCCATGCAAACAAAGCAGAGAGATCATTTGGATTGAAACAGCATCGGCTCAATTTCGGACCTTTCTCTCTCACTTGACCGAAGTTCACACGCGTTAGAAAACACGAGCGACCGATGAATTTCTTTTTTTTTTTTTCTTTTTTTTTGACGAAAATACTCGATGCGCAAACGAACGTAAGAAGAAGAAGAAAGAAGAGACACGTAACTCTCTCGTCTATCTCTCTCTCTCTCTCTCCTACAGATGAAAAATATTCGTTAAGTCGCGCGGTTTCTCTCGGACTAGTTTTCGCCGATCCGCAAAATTGCGCCATCGATAACACGTGTGTCGCTTCGTTTGTTGCTCTCGCGTCTAGCCTCGAGATTTTTTACGCGCGACTTATCTCATCTCGGTTCTTCCATGCGGGAGTAAAATGACACTTTATTTTTCGCGAAGATAATTTTGAGAAAAATGTAATTGAGGTTTTTTGTCTTTGTTGTTTTTATTAACGATAAGTAAGCAAGCGCGGAATATTCACGACAATACGCGAAGATAGCGCGTATATAATTGCGTTGCCGAAGGTTACGCAAGCAAAAAATATTTTTCACAAGTTATTTTTAACACTCGGAGGACGTACCCTTCGGACAAATATGGATGCGAGTCACTTTTTTAGCCGTACTTTATAGAACAATCAAAAAGTCATTACTCCGCGCGCGCGCATACACAAATAAAACATACTATATAAATATATATTTATTTTTTTAAAGTTTCTAAAACTACATTTATTTTATTTACCTTATTATTTAAATATATTTATAGCGTATGGATATAATTTAGTAAATATACGTTGAGTCTCAAGTGACCCAGCCACAAGAAGTTAATCGACATCTGTAGAATATAAGAAATAAATAAAATGTATTTCACAAAAACGTATATTTTACATTTTATTTTCCGTTTGTTCTTTGAAGGAGAACGATCTTATCTTCTGGTTAATTTTTATTTTCAGCCGATGTCGTTGAAGCATGCACCGTAAACGAGGTGCGTGTAGATCCGTGCAGAGAAGCCGAGGAGCGAAAGCCTTGCGGATTGAAGAAAGGTCGCAATGCGAGCATAAGCTTCGACTTTACTCCTGGTGAGTATGTAATTGAAATATTCTCGCACACGCGTCAAGAAAACGCGTCGCAAAAAGAAATCTGAAAAAGCTTTGCAGCCGAAAACCAAGCAAATTATATACTCTTCTAACGTCGTAACTTTAACGCACACAACATGATCGTTAACGCAATAATTAAGGTTTTAACGGCGTTTAAAGTAAGTGAACAAGAGCACACCTCGTAAATACGAAGAGCAACTCGTGCGAAGTGCTCTTAATTCACGCTTCTGTTTTAATTCTTTAAATGGAGAGGCTCCTTCCACTTATTAAAAGAAAAGAGAAGTGGCTGGTAGTTCTTTATTTTTATCAGAAAAGAAAAAGAAAAACACAGAAGGAGAGACCGTAAGTCTTTAAAGTCTCTAGTAAAAGCGTTTTCACTTATTTAGACTTTAATGGGAAAAATATCGCACACACAATTTGCGTGCACAGAGAGGGCGTGTTGTTGCTTTTATTTTCATAACCCGTTGTAACGCGCGGTACCGCCGTGTGTAAACCCAACGATCTTGAAATTTAATTTAATGAAATTCGAAAATTTAATATAATTCACTTTGAAACGATATTCAATGACATTCCTACAATTTCTCCACAAAAGAGCAGACAAAGAAATTGTGATTGAACGTGTCATTTCGCGCATCTGCATCTGCGATTGCTTCTCTCTGATTGCAATTATGTGCAACTCGCTCTCTGTTGAATTTAATTCCACAAAGGGAATTGTTTGATCGCGGATTATTCATTTTGCACTGCTTGACATGTACGTATTGTATTTTACACAGAGTTCGGCGGAGAATACTTAGAGACCAGAGCGTACTGGGCGTCCGAAGTCGTTGATCTGCCGTTCCTGGGTATGTCGAGTAACGCGTGCGAGTCAACAACTTGCCCGGCTACGCCGAACCAGAAACAGACTTACTCGGTGATATTGCCCATCTCGAAGAAATTCCCTATGGTAATATATTTTCCTCATCTCTTCGCTATTTCACAAAATACGTCGCGCAACCGCGTTTTGTGTTCGAAATCAAAAATTTCACGTCAGTCGAAACAGCCGAGAGTCGAGACAGCAAAACAGCACTTCCGTGCTCGCGGAAGTGCTTCGAAAGAAGCTTAGATGTAACACATGACCAACAAAAAAAAACACATTTCTGACACCAAGAAAAAAAAACACAAAAAAGCTTAAAGAATTATTTCAAAACCATACTCTGTGTCTTTTGTTGCAGCGAACTTACAATCTCAAATGGAAATTGTGGAACGAACAGCGGCAGCATTGTTGTTTCATGTTCCCCATTAAGTTGCTGAAATGAAGTTGTTGTTTCCAAGTTGACCTTCGTCACACTTTCTTCCTCGTAATGTGCCTGTAATGTGTCGATCAGTAATTTAAAGAAATAAACAATGTATTCGTGTTAGCGATACGATAATTTTATTATTCTCTCGTCTCTACATTATTCCCGCCCAGAGAACCAAATATAAAACGAATCCTGATCTCGCAACAACAAACGGTCAATTGAGAGAAAGCACGTTAAGTAACAAGCGTACATTTTATCAATGAGAAAAAAAATTACAAAAAATTGAAAACATGCATTATGGTGATTGCGACAACGCAATTATTCCTCGTCGCGTATATATATATATATATACATATAAATAGCATCGTCCCACGAGGTAAAGCGTATTTGTAATCCATTACTGACGTTTATAAGAGATAATGGAACACAGTAGCAGTATCTTCTCTCGAGCGAGTAAAACATAAAACGCCATCCATTTTTTTGCGCCAACCAGACGTCACTTAAATTTTTAATGCTCCAGGCGGAAAGTGTCCGTGTTCAAAATGTCATCTCTCTCGACGAGAATATCTGCGTTTAGAGAACGTAAATTGATCGCAGTTTTTAATCTTTTATATGAAACAATTATCTGCAAAAAAAAAAAAGAAAAAAAAATTGATTGAAACGTGACTTCGGTAGGATATTATAAATTCGAGGGAATCAATTATCTAATTTTTTTGTTAGATACGTGTTTATATATGACTCTTGGATACGTAGGATGACCAACATATCCGGCGCGACACAACAAAATAAATAATAAATTGCGAAAAAAAAAAACTCCCGAGCCTCCCGAAGAGAGAGAATCTGTCTACGCGACCACGTGATTCGATTGTGACCGTGCCGCGAGGCATCCTTGGTAGACACAGATAATGCGTAAGAGAGTTCGACGATCGTTCGCGTTCCGAGGCGCGCAACGATGACACACGGAGCGAAGGCCCGCGTACCGTGGCGTGGTCTCAGATGGCCAATCAAAGACGAGACCGCTAGAAAAATAATTGGCCACAATTGTTAAATTGTGCATTTCCTGATAAAAGTGGCCGGAAGACGGTCTCGCCGTCTCGATTCTGTCGAAATTTACAATACGCGCGTGTCACAATCGGCGACGGTGGTGCCGAGACTCCTCTCTCGCGCGCGCGCGTTCTTACGGTTTCCCCGCGCGTCGCATTGAATTACCCCAATTTCTCATCACAAAACGAAGGAGATATATATATAGGTCACACATTCATTTTCTATCCGGACCGTGGAGTTAAGCTCGTCGGTTCGTTAAAGCGACGGTCTTGCTTGCGCGCGTCTTCGTCGAAGACACGAATTATCGTCATCTCTTTTTTAATTGCTCCTCTATTGTTTACAATTTCGACACGCGCCAAGAGAAGATCAAAGGTATATCGCTTCCGTTTGTCGTTGTCGTCGTCGTGGAGGTTAACGTCTATCACACACGTGGCGCTCGCCACGATAATTATGTTTATGGCCTGCGTATATAGGGTCACGCTGTGTGTACACAGCTGGGCGACCGACCGACTTCGATTAGATTAGTGGCGCCGAGACACGGAGAGATTGATGTTTTGCTTTATTTATTGATGATTAACTACGAAAATAATAGTGTGTCGGCGATTTATTATTAGCGCGGAACGTGAATCTTCGCGAAGAGAGAGAGAGAGAAAGAGAGAAAAAGAGACTGACTTCGATCTTCGATCTCTTCCCATGTGCGTTCTTTGCAAAAATACCAACGCTTCGTGAATATTGCTTCGAAGTTGAGCGATAATTGCATTGTTAATTATTTTTCAATTTACGTTGTTGCGCAAACAAACAAATATTCGATGAATTTTTAAAATTGTTATTGCTGAGTTTTTTTCAATCTCTTTATATTTATTATTCCGTCAGAGAAATTTCGTCGTTAATTTCCATTCGCGCCAATTTCACGATCTGCAAAATTATTCAATAACGCGTAAACTTGCGCGCTAGAGAAGGAAGTCTGAGATCGTTTTGTTCACGCGGAAGTGCGTTACTCGCGCGCGCGCGTGTGTAATACTCGCACTTCTGAAATTTCACCGGACCATCGTCCATTTTGGATCCGATATACATATATATACTACATGCCGCTTCGTCAAAGCGTTTTCGGACCGTTTGCGCGACGTTTATTGCTCGGGCAATTAGCGACGTGATCGTCGGTGATTAAAAAGCTCGTGCCCATCGACGGGACCGTAGGAGGCCACTTCCGAGCACCTTCATCCGCTTTTGCCGCTATCGATCGAAGGATGACCGTGTAAGCGAAATAATTATCGTTTGGAGCGCCGATTACCGGCTCGGGCTCGGCGCGGCCCGAGGTCAGGGGCCATAATAACAGATTACTCGGCCGACCCGTACGCCGTACGTTGTAACAGTTAATGCGCAATTATTCAATTGAATAAGACGGCTCATTCACGAAGAAAACGACCGGCAGAAAGTTGCGAAAACGCGGCGAAGAAGAACGCCGCGAATTTTCGCCAACATCTGCGGAAGAGAGAAAGATCGATCGATATAGTTATGTTCGTAATGTTCTCTGGAAAAAAAAAACAAATTGCTTGAAGTTCCTAAAAAATCAATAGAAAAACAATTTATTTGTCACAAGATGAAAACAATCCTTTTGTTCCTACGGTAACAAAAATGTCAAATGAGAAGAGACGTAAAAAATTGTTTAAGAGAAAAGTGTATTTGATAAGTAAAAAATGGCGGAAAGAGAGAGAGAGAGGGAGAGAGAGAATGAGAAAGAACAACTGGAGGAAGTGATTATAACAATTTTAATTCCAACGGCGATATATCTCGGACTAGTATTTTGCAAGTCGCTCTTTGAGCTTTAAAGCCGCCGCTTGAACGTTAAGCGAAAGACGCTCCAGCTGGAAATTTATCAACGCGATGCAGAGACGACTCTCGCGTGCGAGAGGAAAGGTGAGTGTTCTCGTTTGTGCAAAATGTGTCTTTTTGTTTTTATTAAATACACACGATTTAACAACATGACAATAATTATTATTATATAATATTATAATAATACACAAATATTAAAAATAAAAAATAATATTAATATATAATAATAATAATAATAATAATAATATAATATTATAATAGAGAAACATTTGCTTGAGGAGAGAGAAGTATAATTGTAACTGTACAGTACGCTTAAATGTTAAAGAGAAACAAATTGGAAATGTCGGAGACACGTGTAAGCACCAGCTGAGAGAAACTTGATTAGCGTTCTCTCATCGAACGTGTGGCGCTTATTTTGCTGAAAGTACCGCAATTAAATTCTATATAATTAGAATGTATCATTATACGAACAACGCGTTTAATACTACGTTTTATTTTGTCAATTAACTGTTATCTACATCTAAAGAAGAAAAGAAAGAGAGAGAGAGAGAGAATATTCTACGTATATTTTTCAAATACAAAGTAAAGTGCGTGCTATTTACCCCGAGTTTTCAAAGTGGCGTGTCTTTCGTCGTTTCGTGATCGAAACTCCGCGATCGCACACAAAGCCAGCGATCTCATTCGTTGTTGTCGCGACGAGGGAACAGGTATCGATTCTTTGGTATCGACATTACACGGCGCATGCTGCCCACGCGACCGAAATTCAGAATAATGAAGATACAAAGCGAGCAGGAAATACTTAATATCGCGAAGTGAAGAGGAAAGAGCGATCGCGCGCTGCCATTTTTTTCAAACATTCTCAATCGTGGTTTTTTTGCCTTTGTGCAGTTTTCCGTATTTCGTCCGAAAAATAAAGCGAGATGTTTATTAAAAAATGAATTAACGTATAAATAAATAATATCGTAAATATATATGTTCGTCGATAATTACAAACGTGTCTGTATTCCACTGATTTTATTGCATGCTTCATTAATTTAATTTATCATCAGAGTTGAGAAAAGCAAAAATGCATGAAAGCAATTTCTTGTTGGATTATTTACGGTTTCTTGTTGTTTCAAGAAAAAATCTCGGCCGCATCACTTCGATACGCGACGGCCGCACGTCTTCTTTGGCAAACATACCTTTGCGATTCGTTGTTCCCGCGGCTCCTCTCGTCCCGAGCTTTTAATCGCCGATTTTAATCAGCGCCACGATTTTACGTTGTCGTCGTCATCGTCGTCGTCGTCGTCGTCGTCGTCGTCGTCGTCGTCGTCGTCGACATTCAGTCCGCGCGTGCATAAATCTAAATCTACAAACTAATCTCTTATCATTTTAACGTATATATATATATATATAAAACACGGGAGACAATCAAAGTTCTCGACTGGCTCGCCCTATTCTCTTTGCATGCGGCAACGATACATCAATCCGCAAAAAACAAACTACCGATAGCGCCACATGGTATCTACATTTTGATTGGTCCTCGTAAACCATATTGTTTCTCGTTTCTTATCCAAACACATACACACACACACACACCCACACGCACACATTTCGCTCTTCGTCGAATGCGTTGCATTCCGCTTTGTTTTTTTTTTTAAACGTGCGAACCACAATATTCCTTTTATATTTATCAATTTTATTTTTCTAACCGTTACACGTTTTTCTGCATCTCCGCACGTCTTTTTCGTCTAATTTGAGCCAAAAGTGTCGCACGTGCTGATTTTTACGTGTCGATTTTTATTTCTTAGATTTACGTTTTGTTTTTTAATTTTTTAATCTCTCACTCGAGAAAGAGAGAGAGAGAGAGAGAGAGAGAGAGAGAGTTTGCTGATATCGTAAACAAAAATAGCCTCGCAATATTCCGAGAAGCGTGTTATCAGTTACGATGCAAAAATGTGTGAATATGTTTCACGAGTGACAGTATTGCGATGACGTAAATTTTTGTCGCAGAAACGAATAATCAGACGTCAGCTAAAATAATCAACATACAGCATGCATTATCAAAATCTTTTCTTCAAAAACAAATCTGCAACTGTCGCGCAAGTTTAAATTTTTTTATAACGTACCTTTTTAGAGATACATAAATATCTAAGCTTCTTCTCTTCCAGACTTCTATTTGCTCGCATATGTGTAAGGAAATTTAAGCAGCGATACAATTTTAACTCGCGTGTCGGACAATTCGTCTTTTCTTTAAATGCGTTTTTTATTATAAATCAAATCGTCTGTGCAGCGGCGATATAATCTCCTTCTTCCGAAAATTCCGCGGCGACATCGCGAGCAAATCTGTCGAACAGAAGACGTTGCGTGAAATAATCGCGCGTTACAATAAGCGAGCGTAGCTTCCACAGACGGCTATCGATTGCACAAACGGAGAAAGAACAAAAAAAAAAGAAAAAAAAAAAAAAGAAGAAACCGTCGCTCAAAGAAACGCGAGCTCGAGGCTCCTTTTTAAGGACGGCCTTTAACACATCCATCGGTCGCCGGGAAAACGAATTCTTCTCGCAACAATTCCTTGTTCGTTCATTCTCTTTAATTCTCTGCAACCCCTGGATTTTTCTTCTAATTTTCTTCGAATCGCCCGGAGGGGGACGTATTCATACCACGTAAATCGGATCCTTGCACACCGAGATCCTCGCTTCTTGGAGGATCCTCAGTCTCGGACCCAGCGGGACTCCCATTTTCTGCAACCTTTCCTCGCTTAAGTACGGTAGCTCGACCATGCCGACTTTTTCCTTCTCGAAAGCGGTCGCGTATTTCTGTACAATTAAAAATTAAACGACAAAAATTATTTCTTTTCTCCTTTTCTTGAAGGAAAAATAGAAACTCTAGTCAAAGATCTTGACGCGCTTCTTTTTTTTTTTTTTGAATAAAAAATATCCTCCTCACCTCATACCCAAGTTCCCTCAGGAAAAGCCTGATGAGGGGCGGTTCCGTGCCGAAGAACTTGGTCAACTTCTTCACTCTCGAAGGGTTCGAGAGCGCCGGCAGTTCCGCATCCTTGATCAGGGGCTGCGACTGCGACCTCACCATTGCCATGCTCGTTTGCGTCCTGAGTGCCGCGATCTCGCACTTTATGCTCTCCATTTCCTGCGAAAACCTGGCAGTAGTAGAATCGTTGGAAACTTTACCTTGTCGTCGCATCGCAATATAAACTCCTCCAACGGGTCTCTCTCTCTCTCACCTGTATCATGAGATGCTGGGTTCTCATCTCCGAGCTCAGGTGGGCCACCGATCTCGCCAGAGTCACCACGTGCGACTCCAGTCGCTGGAAACGCTTATTGATGCTCTAAACGAATCGAATTTATTTCGTTTATTACGAGAAAATTTTAGTGAGAAAATTTCAGCAAACGATTGTTTTGAATAATAAAAAATTTGAGTTTGTTTATTCGAATTTTAACTTCGCTGACCTTGATGTCTTTGGCTTTCTTCATTCTGTCGTCGATGACGTGAGATCTGCGTTTGTCGTGATGCCTGGTAACAGGTCGGGACGAGACTGAGGACGTCGGCAACGACGAGACCGAACCGTAACTGGTGAGTCCTCTCGCTTTCCGCCTCTTTTTCACACTTCCGCCGAGCAATTTAAGTACCTGCGAAAAAAAAAAAAAGTTTTTTGCATGCAAAGTGAAATAAATTCAATTACGCTCTTGGCGCGCAAGAGCGCGCCTCTTGATTCTAGCACGTACTTCGCTATTTCACCGCGACACGGAAAAGAGAGAAGTACATACATTCAATATCTTTATAAATAAAATAAAATAAAATAAAATAAAAAACGCGAACTCACCTCGCTGTACATATTTTCCAACCCTTCCAATTGTTTCCTGATCGTTCTCGCGTCGGTCGTGCTGAGATCGGAGTCGCTTCTGTCCAGCATCGAATCCAAATCGAGCCCCGTCGTGGTGGACGTCAAATCGGCGGCTTCCATTCCGAAAACTAAAAAATCCGCAATAATTTGCGTAAACAAAAAACTTTAATTCTTTTCTCACGCAAAAATATTTTCTTCTAATCGCGGGACTAAAAAAAAAAAACACTCACGGTGCGAGAACTTTTTCGCGGCTTCCTTCTTGGATGTCGATGCACCACGGTGTTTCGCGCTGCTCGAGAAACCTCTCTTTTCCATGGCTTTGTTGTAATCGCTGTAATTTGGTTTCAATCCATACGGTAAACTAAAATTTCCACACGAAAATATTTTTATTAATACTATCGGGCGGAAAANAAAAAAAAAAAAAAAAAAAAAAAACACACACACACGGGTTATACATAGAACTCCAAAATAGCGTAACAGATGGTGGAGAAAAAAAAATTAAAATGTTCCCTGTCAAAAATATTTCAAAAATTTTGCGCTGATTAACTCAAAGCTCGATCTATAAAATCGGTGTATCATGCAAGATGATGTGCAACCAAGAATGTAAAAGAGCTGCAGCGCAGAAAAAAAAACGTTTATTTTTAGCACAACGGAGGCCACCACTTTTTGGCTAGACTCCGATATTGGAATTTCGATATGCGAGAGGAAGGCAACAAAATCGGAAGTGACTCGGGAGCGATGACCGGAAGTAACACCGGGGGGGGAGGTTGCGCGAAGAAGAGCGCACAACCTGTTTGAAGTCAGGTTACCTCGTTGAGTATCGATTTCTCGGCGTACGTGGGCTGTCATGGGGTGACAGCGGCGGCAGAGGTGGTGTCACTGAGGATACACTTTCGGACAGGGTGGAGTGCGCCATTGCCGGCACGTCCCTGGGTTCCAAAATACTCCGCAACTCCGACTCGACTATATCGGCCCATTCCGAGTCTTGTACTGCAAAGGAACAGAGGAAGCGATACTTCCGAGCGATCGATACCTGAGCACTTTGTAAGAGAGACAACGCGCAAGTGATTGCAAACTTGAATTATAATAAAAAAGAGAAAATAACAAAATCCCTCTATTAGCGTGCGCGCAAGTTGAGTTTAAACGAAATACACGAGAAAAACTTATTGCTTACACATTTATTCGAAAAATTTAATTTTATATTTATGTAAGAAAACCAGCGTCGAGAGAAACAACGGAGAAGAGCCGATTCTCACCTTGCGCTCCCAGGGTTTGGTCGTCAGGCGGCGGGCGTCTTCCGCTCGAGTAGACAGCGGAGCCTCTTCCGGAGTCGACATTCGACGAACTCTGGCCGGCCTTGTCGTAATCCGAACCCGAGCCCTGATTCTGAATCTTCAATCGGCTGATACCCTGCTCCAGATCGTCTTTCCTGCTATCCGATTTCACTGCGGTCTCCTTCCCGCTATATTGTCCACCGCCCTCGAGTCTCTTGGACGCCTCGCCCATCATCTTCGTTGCCAAGCCGATTCTCAAGCCATCCGCATCGTCCTTGGACGACGGCTTGGAGCCAAAATGACCCTCTTGTTCCGCCCGTTTCTGCAATTCCTCGATTCTCTTCTGCACGGAGTTACCCTCCGCCGTTTCCTGGCCGCCCTCTTGACCCGACGATCCCAGCTGCTCCTGATCCCTCTTCGAGGCTCGCGTGTCTCCGTCCCTCCGAATGCCGAAGCTGGTTTCCGGACGATATTCCTCGTTCCTCTGTGATCCGTTTTTTCCCAATTCGCTCTGATTTCGATCTTCCACCGTAATCTCGTACCTGATAAAATATTTACACATTTGTACAACTTTTACCAAAAAGCTCTCGGTTTCTTCTCCGAAAATACAACAATATCCATCAAACAAATAAAATAAAAAAAACAAAAGTTAAAGTAAAGCGATAAATACGTTGTAATCAATAATGATGAAGGCCATACAAAGGACGTGTGGGACGTCAAAAAGAAAGTGTCAAATCACCTCTCCTTGTCCAGCGGGTCAACCGTGAGATTCTTCATGTTCTCCGCGGGATTCTTCGCTGCCTCGGCGTTACGCTCGTCCTCGTAGCAGAGCTGCGGCTGGGACGCCGCCTTCTCGATGCCCTTTGACGAGTTTCGCCTCTGAAACTCGGCCTCCTGATTGCTCTCGGTCTTCATGTACACCTGGGGAACGCCGTAACGCGGTCTCCCTTGAGCGTAATGATAGTAAACTTCCTGACCGGAGACGCGCAGCTCCTGCGCCTGTCTCGATGTGCTCGGCAGATCGATCTGCGACCTCGACATCGCCTGCCTGGCCTGCTGATATTGTTGATACGAAACGCTGTTGGCAAAATACGACGTCGGTTGCATGTTTCGCCCGCACGTCTGCGAATTCTGCTGCTGGCTAACGATCTGTTGCTGCTGTTGATGCATCTGCTGTATCAGTTGACGCTGGTGCATGTTTTGCGCGTGCTGCTGCGCGAACCGGGGACTCTGATGATGATTCTGATTCTGATGCAACAATTGCTGAGTGCTCTGGAAGCCCTGACTCGTCGGTGGCATCGCGTTGCCCACCTGATGCTGCTGCACGGACAGACCGTGCGCTTTTTGCACTTGCGTGCCTTGCCCCTGCAAGCAAGCGAGCAAGCAAGCGTTACCAATCAGTTAATACCGTTAAACGTACGCTCATTAGTTCGGTAATTAGATGTTCGTCCCGGCGAAAATTTAATTTGCGTGACGAGAGACGCGCAATTCGCGTTTGAGAATACATTTGACAGTTACCGTGTGTGTTTCATATTTTTTTTTACTTCTGAAACTTCATTTTTAATTTATCCGTCGTTGCGGTTGGGAAAATGTTCTTTGCGTTTTTATCTCGCGTATTAATATTCTGCGTGCCGAAACCACTTCGTGTTTCGCGTTGTTTTCTTTTTCCGCGAGTACGGCGAGAGGCGATCGTTGTCTCGCACACAATATTGATCACCCGAAAGGCGAAAGAAATGGTAACTTCTTCTCGAATAACTTTTTCAGATATATGTTTGTTCGAATAGCAAACTTTTTTTCGTAAACTTTTCTCTCCCTCTCCTCCATTAACTCCCAAGCGAGAGAACAGCGAAGAAAGTTTACCGTCACAATATAATAATAATACATCGCATTGATTTGATTTAACATTTTGTCTGTCATCGTTTTTCATTGTTTATTTACATTTTCCGTTACTCAACTTGGAAAAAATGTAAATGTTAAACAGACGCGCGGAAATCAATCATTCATGCAAAACAAAAAAAAAAAAAAAACAAGCGGAAACGCTTTTCTCAACATTGTCACGCCATATTACGTTACATCACGCTAAATTCGAGTACCAGCGTCATTACGCGCGGTCTAACCGTTTTGTGTGCAGGACACGCTCGGCATGAGCGTCCGGCATTGTGTGTTACTTTACGTTGTATTTATATATATATATATATATAAAGGGAACACGCCGCCGTATCAAGCGAACATGTGACAAGTCGTGCGAGACATTTTGCTTCTTCGTCCACCGAAGAGAGTTCATTTCCGGCACGCGACGAGTATCTTCCGCGTAAGAAATACATATATCGAGCACCGTGATCTAGTAGTTGCGCGAGTAAACAGCTGTTTTGTTTTTTTTTTCTCACACGACAGTACAAACAAATCTATTTTCTTTCCAGCGGATAAAATTTTTTTTTTTTGAGAAATTACAGTCAAAAAATTGAGTCAAATCGCAATCTTCGACGTCAAATCGTTTCGTCCTTTGTCCCGTTCGTCGCGATTCACGAACCCGAGTTTTTTAGACGCAAAAATATTTCTCACAAATATATATAAATCGCACAGATCACTCCTCTTTCTCTCGACGCGTTCGACAAGACAGATCTGTACAATTTACATGTGTTTGTTGAAGATCACGCAGACGAGAGATCGCGTTATTTCGTATGTATCTATTTCTTTTATTGAACATTGCGAGAAATTTATCAAGTACCTAGTTGTTAGCCAAGGGCGACTATAAAATGGTACACGGAAAATTCGACTCCTGGTGTTTTTTTTTTTTTTTTTTACAATGATTTTATAAGTTTTCTAAGGAAAGTAAAGAAGATCGTTTTTATTAAACGAGATACAAACCTCCAAGCATGCGATGTGGATCGTTTAACTTAATTCAAAGCATAATGTGTATTGATTTACACTCTGAAAGCTATTTTCGCGCATTCAGTGGCTCTCACTGGCCTTCTCTTGTGTGTACAATATATATCACAGAATATTTCTTCTTTCATTATAAACAGAAAGACGTACCTGCGCGGGATTCTGATGGATTCCCTGATGCATTTGCTGGCCGGCGATCGCGGCCGGCGTCGGCACCACGTACTCCCTCGTAACATTTTGCACCTGCTGCGCACCTGTCGCCCCGGACTGGCCGAAAGCAGAGACCTGAGTCTGATGAACCGTTTGAACACCACCGGGTGGCGTGTGATGGGTCACGTGTAACTGGGCGCTCTGTCCCGGCAGATTCGGCTGAATAGTCGTGGTCGGCTGCAGTTGGCCTGGCAGTGGCACGTTCTGCTGATTGCCTTGATAGCCGTACGAGTGGCCGTACTGACCTCCTGAGCAAAGATGACGACTGAGTATGTAATTCCCACCCACGTTTAATCGTGAAGAAAAAGTTAATTTTCGCGCGTTAATAAGCTCGCGTTTTTCACGAGCGGAACGCGTCAAACCTCGTCACATATTCTCGGCACGCGGAGATTGTATTGCGCAAAATATTTATTGCAGTTTTTGTTCGTCGAACCTACGCGGTTTATTTGTAGTAAAATTTATGCGGTGTATGTATGTATATATATACATATATATATATATATATATATATGTATATATAAACGAGCAGCACGTAAATGAACTAAATGGATGCTTTAGTTACATTAAAGTGCTCAGACGCGATACGTTGCTTCATATAAAGGCGTTTATTTTGAACACTGTGCTGGCGAAAGCACCAAGTACGTAGCGCGCGCACCGTATATGAATATGCAGTAAACTTCTAATTAAAAGGAAATTTCCTTCTTCACAGTGCACGCTATCCACGTTTCGCGAATCATTATTATTACGCAGAAATTACAGCGCAACGATTTAAAAACACGGAAAAAAACGTCTACGAAAGAAATGTTAGATAAAATCTCGGATTTTATTAAAGTGTATTTTTTTTTTATTAATCTCTCCCGTCTATTAAAACAATATTATTTAAATATATATATCAAGTGTCTATATTTATCGCGAGCGTAACTTCGTCTCTTATCAACGTTAGCCGATCGCGATACGTTTAAACTATTTCTATTCGACGGTGAAAAATCGACGGATCGTTAAAAAACACGCTCGGGTGTTTGCGCGTAAGAGTTTTCGGTCGCCTATCGGCCAGTGATCTCGATTCAAGAATCGGGAGAAATTGTCCGAGTATTATTAAAAAAAAAAAAACAAACAAAAGCCGCGGCCAGATCGCGAAATAATAATCGCGGCGATATCGCGCGCGACTTTCGTTCATCGCGCAATCGTGACTCCACACGTTTTCGTACAATAAACGAACGCGAGTAGAAACAGCTGTGAACGAAGAGAGTCGCGTGGTGAACTCTGATGACCGTAATCCTCTGATGAGGAGAGCGTAAAAAAAAAAAAAAAAAAAAAAACAAAACAAAAAAACAGTTCGCTCGCTCGCTTAGACGATAATCAAGAAGATATGTGAATTTCCAATATAATTTTGTACGCATTAATCATCGTCAATATGGACGTTATTTTAAACATCGTTATATTCGAGAATGATTTGAGGATTATATAGAGACACGTTGTCGAATTTAAAAAAAAAACGCGCTACTCGTTCCTTTCGTCAGAGTTTGTATTAATTACGATCAGTGATTTATGAAGGCGCGATAACATCGTTTTGTCAGAAATAAAATATAAATAATTAATTATTGACAGTTTCGAGAGAAGTAGGTGTGTTATAATACCCCGATTTTTTACGTTAATTTTTTACGCTCTCTTTCAGATTCGCTCAATTATTCGCACATTTCCTAAAATGCACACTTTGTTTTAATTTGCAAAAAATCCCGTTAGACCGCACACGCTCGATGCGCGACGCAACGTTGCGCGCGCCGCGCAGCACAAGCTCCTTCCTCCAATTAATTCATCAACATTTATGAGCTTATTAACGGCACCCGACTGAACACATCTCGCCTTAACGCGTTTAATTGCCCAGAAGCGGCATTTCAACTCGCGGGGCCGTGACTCCCGACTTACCGTAAGCGTTCTTTGAATATTGCTGCACATTAACCGACGTCGCGTCCTGCGCCCGGGGTTTCCCGTAAATCCCCTCCTTCTTCCTGGCCTCGTCGTCGTCTATACTCCTGCTCGATTTTCGCAGCTCCTCCGTGACGTTGTTCAAACTCGCTTCCGGTTCCGGCTCGACGTCCTTGCGACTCGGACCGAAGCGGCTCGAGATCATGTCCTTAATGGTGTGATACGTTCTGGACAGCGACTTGGTCTTCTCCTCGTCGATCTTTGTCGTCCTCGGCACCGCTCCGGACGCCGATCTGACAAGCAAAAAACTTCAATTTTCCGATCGTTTATTATTAAGAAATATTGCGTTCAACGCGCGATCGATCTCTGTTCTCTATCTTAATTTAGCGTCGCGCTTGTCTATCGGAGCGACGGTGTTATCGTGAGTTATAGCGCAAACACTCGATCGTCAAAGAATCGATAATCGCGAGATCGATTAGATTTTCATTTATCGCGTGCGCTCTTTATCGAGAATCGCGCGCGAGGTGAAAGGCATGCGAGCGTGAAGCGAACAGAATGTAATTACGAGTAGGTGTCCTGTGACTGATAGTTCCTCGCTTGGCCGTCCTGTCTCACTTCCTGCACCTGAGTTCCCTGCAACAACAACAAAAAAAAAAAAGAACACGGAGTTAGAGTCCCGAAGTTTTAAGTAACAAAAAATCTACGTCTCTCGCGTACAAAATTAATTGCGTGGCGCACAATTGTGCGTGCACATAAATTCGAGATAACTTACGCCTACGCTACGGTTTATTTCGCGTTTAGAAGCGTCCAATTAAATTTCGTCGAACGGCAAGCGCGTAATTACGCGTCGTTATAGGAAAATTACGACGCGTCGAACATAGTCCGCGCAAGTTACGCGCAAAGAGTTCGGTGTTGGAGATAAAAAATTGCGCGCGGGGGCGGGAGAACAACGAAATTCAATTGAATAACGAAATGCCCGCTCGTTTGTTAACAAGTTGGTGTATTAATAAATTATTCGCACGTTTGTGCGCATTAATTTATAAACACGAGTGTATATGTACATATACGCCCGTATTTCAGTTCACAAACTTCTGCGTCGTCGTTTAATATTCGAGGAAAGTTACGTTACACGCGTAGTTTGCGCGTTAAAAAGCAGTTAGAGACGCATCGAACTTTCGCGATGAGCAATTAATGTGCGTGTGTGTGTGCGCGCGCGCGTGTGTGTGTACGTGACTACGAGCCACTTAATAATCCGTCGAGAGACTCAATCAATATCACAAATATCACGCGCGACGCAAAGGCGAATTACACGTTGTCGTAGATGTGAGAAAGTTCGACTTTTTTTATTTCCTGCGAGAATATTTTAACACAGCGCGAGAAGAAAAAAGAAAATGTAATCTAAAAGATTTTTTAATATGCCTGGACATGGGTTCTTTCTTCGGTTGCGCGTGTCTTAATATCGCGGCGATGACGTACTTGACGCACTTTCACGCACTGTTATTCGGAAATCGCTTCTGACGAGCGATTTATAATCGGACGTCGTGCACTTGCGACACGCGAATCGCAACATTTCGAAGTCGTTCAACTTCCAACGAGCGGAACTCGGCTCTGAAGTTTGTCCTCTCAAAATGTGCCAAATTCTCGCTGAAAATCGTTTAGTTAGAGCCGTGATCTTCGGCGTAATGTCGCCGTGTGATTTTAACGACTCAGCCGCCGCGAAATTTAACGAAAAGTCGAGAAACACGCTTCGATAAACTTTCGCGAAAAACCAAAAATTCAACGCGCGTTGTAGAAAAGATTCACACGAACACGAGAGAGAGAGAGAGAGAGAGAGAGAGAGAGAGAGAGAGAGAGAGAGAGAGACAGAGGGACGAGAGTCTGTGAATTCCAGTTCTCAAAGGAGAAGCTGAAACGAGTTGTTTCGGTAAACCGCACCGCGTTTTGCGGCGAACACAGGATGGAAGTTTCTGTGAAAATTTACTGCGCCGCAATGTCAAGCATGAGAAAGCGCGCACGGTTGTTGTTTTAATACTATTATTTGATGCTTTTTTCTACGATTGATTTGTTTATTTAACATCAAAGTTTGTATTATTTGTCGTTAGATTTAACAGAGAGGAAAGGAAAAACAACACGCGACTAAAATCACGTGACTTTACTTTAATCACGTGTCTCTAAAAACGTGACTAAAGCAAAGTCACGTGACAGGGAGAAGAGGAAAAACAACACGTGACCAAAGTCACGTTATTTTACGTTACTACAAATTAATTTTCTACTTCATGATCATTTGAAGTATATATGTCGTAGTTACCGCGTGCCAAGTTTCAAAATAGTTTATGTTAAAAAAAGTTATATCCTTCGAGAAAAAATGACATCTTTATTGGACTGTACGCCATGTCGCGACGCAACCGTGCCTCTCGATATATTCTGAGAGAATTCGAATTAAAAACTGAAACGTCAAAATGTTTTCCTATCCAAGCTCTTCTTGGCCGTTTTAACCTGTTATATTTTTTTTCCCATTTGAAGAGTATAAATCTCTCCTGATATATATATATAGATATATCAACGTTAAGATAATATGTTCAGAGATGTTCAACGCGACATTTTGAGAGAAATTAAGATTTACGTTTATAGAAAGCCGAGAATTTCCGGCAATCCAATCGTCGTCGTAAACGATGGACAGCGTGTCAACTTTCGTTTCGTGCGTGTATATAAAAATACGCCGTACATATGTAAGAAAACTCATCGTCGTTAAAATTAAGTACGACGACGTGTATTTCGTCGTGTGTGTTGCAAACGACGCGAGATTATAAATACTTTTATGACAGCGACGTGACGCGAATATATAGGAAGCGAATCGATTCGGCGATATGACGCAGCTCAGGCAAAAAGGTCGTAACATCAAGCGCGATGTGTGTTATCGACTTTTCAGGAATTGAATTGGTACCACCGCGAGGAGAGAAGAGAAGAGAGATCGGCCCCCCGCGCGCGAGAGAGGTCCGAGCCGCTCGAGGGAAAATTTCACAGTTGACGCACTCAATCCTACGGGTTTCTCGGGAAGACACGCGCCTGGAATAAACAACGGCCCCGCGCGTCGCGGAGACCCGCGTGGGACACGCATCTCGCATACGGAAGAGGGGCACGGCCTGACTTACGGCCGGGCCCTCGCCGATGTACCGTCCCGTCGTGTCGGGATTACGCGGAGAGATAAAAAAAAAACCGGAATTTCGTATCTCGAAACGAGACGCGATTCGAAGCGATTCAGGAATAGAAGTGGGAAGAGTGTGAGCAGCCTCTATACCGGGGAGGAAGATAAAGAGTGGCGCAAACAACCAGAAAGTGAGAGAGAAAGAGAGAGCGAGAGAAAAAAAAGCAAAGAAAGAGAGAAACTTCAAGAGATTTCAATAAATCTCCGCAAACTTTATCTCAAGATGCAAAAGCGGAGAACTTCTTCATTATCTTTCGTGTTCTGACATAACATGAAGATTTTAAAAAACTTCGTTTCCTCTATACGTAGTTTTTTCTCTTTCTCTCTCTCAAAAAAATTTCTTTTAAAGCGAGAGATGTTTTTTTTTTTCCAGAGAGTCGTTTTTCTCGCTTTAAACGCTGAAGGATGATGCAAAAAGCGGAAAATAAAATCGCAGAAAATATATACACACGCGACTTCTGCGCGATCTTTCTCTTTCCTCTCGTGGGCGTATGTAGTTTTCTATTCATAGCGTATCGAGGAAACTTTTGCAGCAAAATTTCAGTTCCAAAACAGACAGCATATGCGATGCCGAGAGAGAGAGAGAGAGAGAGAGAGAGAGAAAGGAGAGAAAAGAAAAAAATTGAGAGAGAGCTAACGCGCGGAGTGCGCGTTCTTCTTCACGAAAGTAGGAGAAAAAAAAATATGACGAGTCAGAGACACACCTGTGATTTCCGAGAGCGTGTTGTGGAAATAGGTTTACGAGCTGCACGTGATGAGCGTCGCGCCTCTGGCGTTCAACCGGAGCGCGCCTGATGTCAGCCGTTCGCGCGCGCGCGCGCGCGCGAAGACGCGCGAAGACGCGTATTTTATGTAAAGTAGATAGGTTTAAGTAATTTCGAAAGGCGACGAAAGTTGGTCATTCCGCACGCCGGAGCGTGTCGTGAACGAAGAGGAGGAAGGGAGGGAGAGTTCCGCGGAAGTGCGCGCGGAAGAGGCTTCCCTTCGACGCGCTCGTGCGAGCGATGCGCTCTCGCTGTGTATCGCGATTCATTCCCGCGAGAACTCTTTTCCCCCCATTTTCTCTCGAATCTAATAACAACATTCTTCGCGACGATAAAAAATCGCGGAGAAATAATGTAATAAAAAGATTCCTGCGATTCTTCTCCGGTTATAAGAAAAAAAACTAGGAGAGCCAACGGAACACATCGCTACATACGTCTAACGAAAAAAAAAAAAAAAAACAGACCACTTGTCGCGTTCTCCGCACGAAGGGAGTAAATTATTGTAAAAAACAATTCTTCTGGGAAATCGAGCAGAAAGAGGCGATCATTTTCTCCGAGCTCAATATAATAATTGACCGCGGCTCGATCAATCGATCGAGCGTCCCCGAGGGGGGCGAGAGAGAGAGAGAGAGAGCGCGCATTTATCGCATCGCGCGTCGTATTGAAGAGGCGCGCACGCAGAACCGATTGCCCGCAGCGTCGTCTCTCGTAAACGAGAGGGATCACCCTGAAATCAATGGAATGGCGCGCGTAGTTCGACGACGAGCATATAAACCGGAGGAATAAACCGCGCTCAGTTTATTTCGCGAGAGTAATCTCGTTAAACAGAGACCGCGCGAGATTCGCGCGCGGTGTGTTTACTGTATATTACGGACTGTTAGTGAGACCATTTCGAAATTTACTACATGGATACGCACGTCAATATCGAAGAGATTGCTGCATCGATCTCTCCTCTCTCTCTTTCTCTGTTGGATGCGCCCCGTTAACGCGCGCGCGCGCGCGCCGATTTCCCGCGAGAGTGGTTGTATAATTTACTTTACTCCTCCTTCTCGCGTCATAAACAGTCGCGCGCGTTATTGTATGTTTTTTTTTTTTACGCTGACGCGGAAACACTCGTGAGAAATGAAGAATATAATTACATTTTCCGGAAAAGAGTTTTGAAGTTGTAGAAACGTGATGCGCAAAAAATGGATCAAACCGATCGAAGAACGAAACGCTCTTCTCGCGCTCTGAAAAGTAGCGCGATTGCGCTACTTTTGTCAATAAACAAAAAATGAACAACAAGATTACATATTACGCGTATGTATGTTCGCCTTTCGATTTGGCAATCAATTTCCACACCCGTAGTTTTGAGGTAACGGAGTCTCGGAGGGGAAAAAGAAACGGCGAGTTACGACGAACGCGCACGTGTGTTATACGAGCTACGCCTGTACATACATACGACGCCCGCGTCACGACCCAACACGTGGGTGGCGCGTAACGGTTGCGCACACGTGACGCCCGATTGATCCGCGGGATTTCGCAACCGCCGTCGCGGATGACAATGGAATCGTTGTCAAAGTGGGACGAAAATGTGTCACGTACGTACAACGAGATACGCAACGTCGAGAGAGAAGGGCGAGAGGGAAAAAACAAAGTCGCGATAAACGATTCGGTCACGCGAATCGATCAATCTACATTTTTTAACCGGATGTTTCCTTAAATTGATTTCCTTAAAGGAATCGACATTTTTTTGGTGTCAAAAAGAGAGAAAAAATGCAATTCAATTGCAAGAGGATTTCACTTCAAGTGACCTAAGACTAAATTTCGTCACGGAAGAAAAGAAGAACGCGGAAAAATCAGAACCGGCCTCTTCCGTGGATTATCGAAAGGAAAAGAAGAAGGATCAAACAACTCACCTCCTGAACCCAGGCCTGTTGCTTGATCGGTGCATCCGGCGCGATGGCGACTCTTCCGGCGGTCCTCTGTTTGTACTCGTGGAGAATGGGAATCTTGGAGTTCTTGTCCCCCGACGACAGGACCAACTCGCGTTCTATCTGCGATCAGAGAGAGAGAGAGAGAGAGAAAGAAAGAGATAGCTATTATTATTTGTCATTTGCGTGGGAAAAGTTATTTTATACAGCCACGTCATTCAGGAATCTCGCCGGTCACTTCACGCGCGCGAGTCCGCTACTTGTTCGTGTCGTCAGCGACGATAGTTCATAAAGAGCTCTGCTATTAAAATTCGCTTATCGCGACCAGATCCAACATTCGAATTATTACAAACAATGTTCGTCGTTTGACTCTAATTCTGTAAATCCCTGAACTTGATTTCCGAGCGATTTTTAAATAATCTCCTATTTCAGTGGATGAATTTTTACGAAACAAAACAATATCAAAACTAATGTTATTTGCTTAATTTGGAACATCGAACAAAGCCCCGTGAATTTTTTTACAGATATTTTTCCAACGTTTTAATCAACAAACTATCGCGTCGGACACAAATGTCATTTATTAGAATTGTCCATGTTTTTTGACGTATTTTCGCAAGACATTTTCATATTCAAAAAGAACACACACCAAAGTTACACACCAGTCAACAATCGACGTGTGTCTCGTGCAAATAAACCTGATTTTTACGGAGGACGCGGATATCAAGGGATCGGAGTAAACAGAATAATAAAAACATACAAATGTACACTTCGTTGTGGTTTTTGTTCTATTTACCGAGAGATACGCGCGGGCATAGCTCTCTCTCTTTCTCTCTCCCTCGTCGAGAGATTTTCCATCGCTTTCTTCTTCGAGTGAGAGAAGAGACGTTCGTGTCGAAGAATCTCGTGATTCGCACGCACACAGAAGACGAGAGAAGGATGAGAGAGATACCTACGCGGAGAGAAGTGCGTGCGGACGACGCAACGTTGGCGACTTTGCGTGCGCGTAATAACGCGCGTTGCGAAGTAAGGTGTCACTGAACCAAACTGGCTGCAACGTAGCCGGCTAAGTCGCATGCATCGCTCTCTCGGAAGAAGGCAAGCGTGATGAAACGAGCTACTGCCGCGGAAAATAAATGCACGTAGAGAGACGTGCAGGGTAAAACCCCCCGTGCATGACTACGTGCGTATAACGTACTCGCGCGCGCGCGCGCGCGAGTTCTGGTGCTCACGAGCGTGCCAGGATTACTTCCTCGAGGATTTACTCGGTGGATTTTCTCGCCCCGCCGTGTCAGCGCTGAAGAACGGCAGATCGAGAGAGGGATTCAAACGTTTTACTCTCGAAATTTCTTGACATCTTCGTTTTCTTCTTTTCTCGAATAGTTGTGGAAGAGAGAAGTGGAAGAAGACAGGCCCGGAAAAGCATGTTTCGGAAGTAACCGTTAATCTCTCGATCTCTCTTTTCCAGCTGCCGCGGTCAATCAAAACTCGATTCGCACGAGGATTCTTTCCGCTCACGATTACCCGCGTGTAAAAACTTTTGGCAGACACGTGAATGTTAAAGTTCGGTTTCGACACATCATTCTCTTGTCGACTGGCCTTCGGAGAAAGTGGAAAGAAAACTTCGAATCGCAGATCCTCGCGAATATTGATGAAATGTTGACTCGTTCGAACGTTGCTAAAAAAATTGCAACTTCCCCCGAAGTAATCAAAATAAAAACACATCTTTGCGTAAAGAGGAAACACATTCCTGTGTATAAAAGTACACTCTTTTCACTTTCTTGCGAGTAATTGTGTTTCCGCTCGGAACAATAAAAATGGAACGTTATAACGTGCCAGGGGAAGAGAAAAAGAGAGAGAGAGAGACAAAGTTTATTAGAAAACTCGGAGATGTGTGGCGCGACATAATTTTGCCCGTGCCACGCGGTTTTTATCGCTTTCTTCGCTTCTTGGAAGTAATCCAAATGACATCGCGTATTTTTCCTTTTTTTTTTTTTTTTTTTTTGGAAAAAGAAGCTCACGCGGTCTGGCGGATCGACGCGAATGTGACGTCACTCTGTGCGACTCGCCGTACACGCGCGCGCGCGCGCACACACACACGCGAGGAATATACATTGCGTCACGAAGATGGATTGGTTATAAAAAAAGCTCTCGGGGAGAAAAGAGAGTGGTCGATGTTTTGCAGAAGAAATAAAGCGTGCTAATAGAGGAACAGCGTCACACACGGGAAACGCGCGCGCGCGCGCGCCCGCTGCGTCAGCTCGCGAATAAAAATACCGATCGATTCTTCAACCCCTTTGAGAGGAGGGAGAGAGGGGGGGGGATAATAGGATGGCGATGTAGAGCCCGCGGAACGACTCCGCACCTGCATCGCAACGATATTGGATTCTCTTCTCTACCTACCAGGCCACTTCTGCCTGCCACTTAAAAGACATTGAATCTTTGATGGAAGATAGTTCCTTTACGATCGCTTTAGTCGCCGCTAATCTCGCGAACTCGAGCAAAAAATACTCTTTCTCGTAAAAAAAAACAAAAAAAAAAATACTCGCTGCGTGTTCTTCCGCGGAACACGCTCTCAAAATCTGTAATTTAATGCGAGATCGATTTCGGGAGTAATCCCGAAATGACGCTTTCAATTACTTGTAAATGTGGAAAAAACACAGAGAGATTTCTTTGAAAATTTCCGTGTGTATAATAAACGACGCGTACATTATAAAGCTAAAGAGAACGAGTCGTTCTTTTTGTTCTTGTATTCAAATTAACTCTGACTCAAAGCGAATTTTTTTCTTTCCGGAAACACGCTCTTTCGAAGAGAGAAAAAGGGAGACAGAGAGCTTCAATTACATCGCGCGGCAGATATTAAAAAGCGGTAAATAATAATATCTTAATTGAACTCTCGTTATTAAGCGTTGAGGTGTAAAAGAGGGAGAGAGACGAATATATAATCGCTCGTTCGTCAAAGAATTAATTTGCAAGAGAGAAGGCGAGTGTCCGTAGGCTTGTACGGGCTACGTGCGATAATTAAAATTGCTCCGTACGTGATAACGAAAAGTGTTAATTAACGTTGACTCAGTACGATCGTATTTCTTGATCAATCAGCTTGATGGATCCTGCTGCTGTTAGAATTTTATACCATTCAATCGAGCGTATATATATTTGATCACGTGAGAGAATGAAGATATCGAACAAAGATCAAAAGATAAACGTTTTTTGATTGCTCGCGTGCAATTTTCGCACCTGCGCGGTCGTCGATTCGCGCGACCGCCGTGTATCTAAACGGCTATCGCACGGAGCAAAGCCCCCCTTTGCCAACTTCCGGCGAACGGTACGCGCGTATGATGCCCCCTTTGTCTTGACGGGGAACCTCTGAGAACCTTCCCAAGAACGTAACTAGCGTACAACGAACTGTTACCGAAGATTTCTCCGAGGACCGCGCTCAATTCCTGGCGCCGTCGTGGAGAATTCTAGCGCGATGCGAATCGGCCACGTTACGAGGATGTTATTATACGCGCGTAACACAAACGTTTCGAACACAAACTGGAAGAACGAAAATCGAAAGATTGTCATTGCGAGATGACACCACGGTTGATTTAAATAATTTTTTCGTTCTTGAAAAACGTGTAGTTATTAGTTATAATTATATATAATATTTATAAAATTATATATATTACTTATAAAATTATTTAGTTCACAATGTGATTGTTTTGAATATTTTGATTTGTTAAAAATACTTCTTTCTTCTACAATTGTAGTATATAATTATTTTGAAAAAAAAAATAAAAATAAATTTCTACGAAATTCGACGGTAGCTCATCTGAATATACACTCCAATTTGACGAGTCACTGAAGTTGATATTTTCTTAACAAGCTATCCTAGAAAGTAAGTACAGATTGTAACTGTAGAGTGCGTAAAGGATGACGATGGATTTATTTTGTTTTTTTTTTGTTTTATTTTTGTTTCCCTCGTTGAACTAACAAGCGGCACTTTTAACAGCGCCTCTGAAATATAACATTGTTATAAAATCGACAAATGAGAAAAAAGAAATTTCTCTCGTGTCAATAGAGAGACTAATGATGACGGTGATAATTAATGAGTAAAGTAGAATAACATCTCAGCGCAAATGTAGCATTTGTTGCATCCGGTTTGGTACGCGCGCGCGCGCGCGCACACAATCATTAGCAACAATCAATTCAAAATCGAAATATATCACTGTCGCGGATCCTTGGTAAGTAACGCGTAGAAAGTTCACCTCGTTAGACGACGAAAAGAGTTTCGTTACAAGTTAGAATTATCTGTCAACGGAAACTTTTCCGCGGAACATCAGCATATTTTTCCCTCGGAGGCTGTAATTGGGCCGCGGGTGTTCGAGAAACTCGGTGTAATTCTAGAAAACCCAACCGTTTATACCGAATAAAGCGTTTACGCCTCTCGGATTCTACTCGTTCTTTTCACCGTCACGTTTAACCCCGGCCTCCGCAAGAAGACGACGCATCGGGAGACGCACGTGTGGAATCTCCTTATTCAGAGAAGCCGCGCACGCATGCTCGTCGCGTCATCGACGACGTGCCACAGCCCGAGCCTCCTCCGTAATTACGTGGAATACCGCAACCGGGAAATCGTAACGCTGCAGCGACGATTAACGACCGAAACTATTAACTAAGCGCAACTATTAACTAAACAACGAGAGTTTAATGTGCATGTTAACTCTTCGTTGAGCGCCGTTCGAAACTCGATGAGAAGTCGTTAAGTCCGTAACAATTTAAATAGTAATAAATATTAAAATATATTTGAAGAAACTAAAAACCTTAAAAATATATTTAGTACGTTTTATTGTGTGCGCGGAACGACTCTTTGATTATTCAGCAAAATAATCAGAATGCGATTAGAAACGATCCACCCACAGTCCTCCGAGAGTTTAAGCGAAAAGGCGCAACTTTCATTTTTGATGAATTTCACCGTCGACGCACAAATTATTGCAGTTCCTCGATAAAAATTGAGCAACACGCGAACATAACGCGGCAAGCAAGAATGACAAAACATTGCGCAACACTACACAACACACCACGGGATTCGAAGAACAACGCGCATACACGCTGATGAAAATGTGTTTGCTTTGGAACGATGAAAGATTTAGCATCCGTCGTTGTCTGCATTGTGCGACGCGGCGTCGCCAAGTTTTTTTTTTTTTCATCACATTGTTCCCTAATAACGTACGAGGCATCGCGCGAAGGTGTTACGCGCCCTCGTACTCGGATAATTAGTGACCTGCTCGTTGAATGAAAGCGCACGAACGAGTTCCAGAGCTCGGAGAAGCGAGCAAAGGCACTTTCTACGCGCGCGAGTAGAAAGATTTCGTCCTGTAATAATTTGTGTTTCAACGAGAATTCGATGTGTCAACGTGATAAAAATAATATTGTACTTTTACTTAAAAATCCTGGCAAAAAAAAAAAAAAAACAAAGATCTCTCGAGCGTGCGAAAATTTTTTGTAATTTTAATTTCGACGCGTGTATGAAAAAATATAATCTCCCGATTTTGTCGCGTAATTGTCCCATGAAAAACTTTTACGCCAAAGTAGTGCAAAAAAAAGTTTACACGTCATAAAAAAAAAAAAAGTAGGACTCGACGAGTTTTACGCGGTTGCGGTTTTCCGAGAAAATGTTTTACGAGTGACGACAGCGCGGTTAATAAAAATAGCGACGTCATAGTTACCGCCGCATTTCTCGTGTGCATTATCTCGGGGCTTACCGGGAACTTGCTGCTGTGAGTCTGCAAACTGGCCGCCTGTTGAGCCTGACCCGAACTCTGCTCCTCCCCGTACAAGGGTGGCATCCTGTATTCCGGCGCGAAGGGCTGTCCGCTTCGAACCTGTCCGTTCTCCGCGACGGTGCTCCTTTCCGGACCGGAAGTTGCTCGCAACAACGAACGTTCGGCTACCGTCTGCTCCCGCTGCTCGTCCTGCTGACCTTCCTGGCTCTTCTGATTGTTCGGCACCGGCTTCGGTGGTGGCACTGGCTTGTAAGGCCCCTCTTCATCTACCAAAGAGACACACGCGATCGTTCGTAACATTTTCACGTTCAACACGAAATATGTTTTTTATTTATTATAAACTTTTGTTCAAGATATATCGAACCTTTTCTCTCTTATTGTTTATTAATATTTTTAATGTCGTTATATACAGATGTTATTTTTTCAAAAGATTTTTTTCGTGTTGAAATAAATAAAATTATGAAGAAGACAAGCGCGAACACAGTTTTGCGCGACGAATCCTTTCGTTTCCGTGAGCTTAGAAAATTTTGTTTCGCGATTTTTTTTCGAGAAATATATATTTGATAAATTTCTCGTTATATAGATCTCTTTTTCTCGACGAGAGATTGAAATGGCTAAAAAAAAAAAAAAAAAAAAAAAAAAGAAAGAGAGTACAAGAGGGGAAGCGAAATAAATATTAATGTGTTTCGCTGCCACGACGCATCCTGGTGACTGTCTATGCGCCTGACGTGAATGTGTTAAACAACCTACTCAGACATACACACAGGAGACATGCCCAAGCAAATTACTATGTATTACACATATCTGAACAGGAGAGCTCTATACGTGAGAAATATATTTTATAATAGAACAACTTCTTCGTAAATATTAAAAAAAAAATAATAATAATAATCATGTGAGCTACGCTCCCATTAAAACGAACGGTGAGAATTTCGCAATAACATTTATGTAAATCAGTCCATTTAGTCGATATAAAATATCGTAGCGCGTACACACCACCCCACGGAGCATGTCCGGTTACGATTACCGCGCGCTAATTTGTCTCGACTTATAAATTCACGCGCGCGAATAGCGATGCTATATATAGTATATACATATATATATATAATATATTTCTTTCTCGCTCTCGACGATTTATTTACTCCGACCGCGTCGATATTTTCAACGTGCACTGCAGAACGATGCAGCGTAATGCTCGATTCGCGCTATCGATCGGATCCATAGTCGGGAGTAATTTCCCATTAACACCTAACGGAGCGACCGCCTAAAAACGAACAGCGCCATGCAGCGCTCGTCGACTCCGAGCTTATTAATCGGCTTTTTGCGGCGACCCGACTCAATTGAGTGTTAAATTTGCTGCCTCATTTAACTTGCATTCACACTGTCGCTCGACAAGTCGAGGCGACGTTCTTCTCGATTCGAACGTGCGCGCACGTTCGAATCGGCCTCAACGCGGCCGAGTTGCATGTGCAATTTGACGTTATCAACGTGATCTCGTCATTACATACATCCGCGTCTCAAATGTATCGCGTGTTTATTTCGAAAGAAATATAACGTTCTGTTGTGAGAATGAATTTAAGAACGCTCTGCGCGCACTTTACGCACCCTCGGGATAAGGGCGCGAGGGTTCATTAGAGAGATAAAGAGAGAGAGAGAGAAACCGCGGATATAACGAATGTACTACCTTGGCACTGATTCTGCCGCCTCAGACGATTCTCCTGCTTGACTTTGCGGACGGTGGTGGCCATCGCGTGTTGGCTGACCATCTCTGACGCGGATACTTTCGCAGATGTGCGCTTCGAGTCTCTCCTCTCTTCTTCTCTTCTCTTCTCTCACAACCTAATCCCCGTGGCGCGCGCGCTTCCCCGAACGCGCGATACCTCTACGGGATCAGCATCCCGATGCGTGTCGCCGAGGATAACACGCGCTGTTGCTCCGCGACGGGCGTCTCTCGCCCATACCCGATTACTATAATCGGCCGTCTACGATTTACAACTAAGTGTCTAACGTTTTCGAGAGAAAGACGCGCACGAACGGTCGAAGACCACCCAAGACGCGAATCTTCTTCTTGATGCGAATTAAATGTACTTTCGTCACACGTCAGCGAATTCTCTTTGCGCGCGCGCGACAACAGACCGTTCCCCCGCAGCTGTTACCGCGAGAGTTTACAGGATTTCGCGAGGATCGTCGAAGAATGACGCGGTTTATTCTCTTGCTCAAGTTCGCCGATCTCTTTGATGTACATACACTCAACGTTAAACACAAAGCGGTCTGATTTATAATTCCAGTTTCGCTCGCTCGTTTCGTAACTGACGCGCGTGCGGAGCGGCAACGTTTCACTTTTTTCTTTTTTTTTTCTTTTTTTTTTTTTAATTAAGGGAAAAACACGCAGGAATAACAACACAACAGGATTGAAACGTGTATGTACGTTGTTTCGTTGACGCAACTTCGGGCAGAAATTGGGTTAATTAGAATTCTCCGCCGTCGCGGACTTCCGTTTTCGCGGAGACAACACCTTTTGTCTCGCGCCCACGAAAAATCACATGGATTTTTTCTTTTTCTTCCTCGTCGTCCTCTCTCCTCTTGTGTCGTCTCACTTTCGCGCGAGTTATGTTCGATTGTTCGGAGTCACGTTCGAAATCGCTCGTCTCTTTTTTTTTTTTTTTTCACGCGAGGAGGAAAACGCGATCGAGTCGATCGCGAGATAACTTTTCGCGCGCTCTCGACACGATCTCGCGTTTCGTTTCGCGCTAGGAGCCGCGATGACAAACTCAAGTTTCTCCCGCGCCTGTTTCTTCGGAGAAAGAAAATCGCGTCTTCGATCGGGTTTTTCTCCGGTTGTCGGATCAATTTGTCAGAAAGAAACGCACGTATGCAGTTTTGAATCGCGCGCCGTTTCCGAAATGGAAGGTAATGCGCAACGTTGTGTTCCTCGCAAATTTATCACCTCCTTTCTTCTCGTTCGCGCGAGGAGAACTTTTTCCCAACCTGTGTGTAGCTTAATGGGTTGAGTTTTCTTGTGAGCGTTGTCTCTCTCTCTCTCCCTATCTCTATCTCTCTCTTTCGATGTTTCTTGCAATATCCCCGATCCAATTTATTCAACCGTCTTCCGCCTTGATTACTCGACTATGTTATTTGCCGTTCTCCAAGACTTCCGGTGCTTCACAATAAAACGAATTTTATTTGCTACGCTAATGTAATCCGAAATAAAGAAAGAAAGAGAGAGGGGTGATGACTTCTCTGTATTTTTTTTGTTTTTTTTTTTTTTCGTGCCCTATTAGCTCGACGTTTTCCCACTTGACTGATCTCTGTCTCGTTCGCTTCTTCTCCTAAATTTTTTTCACTCGATCAATCTGAGCTGCCGAACAAAAAAAAAAAAAAAAATTTCGAATACACGTATTTTACGTAAAACGACGACGACAATGTCTCTCGATTGGCAAAATTCAGTCTACGCTTATTCGATCTTCCGAATTTAATTCCCGCAATCAATTTCACCGCTTCTCCCATTCATTCACGTCGACGAAATCGCTGCGAAGTCACCATGTCATTATGTTCAATTCCGATCGTTCGTTCCTTTATCTCTCGGCTCACTTTTCTTTTTTTTTCTCTTCCGATCCTTCTTTCGCACAAGATATCAACATCCGCAAATCCTGGAGGCATTCACTGAGCACTCAAATTCACCAATTCCCTCGCGACGATTCACCTCTTTCGCATCGACACGGCACGACACGACACGACACGACGCTTTTCTCGGCGGCTGCTCGCGGCGTGGCTCGCGTTCGCGCGAACGTCGAACGCGCGAATGCCGGTATACACGCGAAAGAAGCGGATTTTCCTCGCGCGCGAGAGAGCGAACGAGCGAGCAAGTGAACGCGGCCGTGGAGGGCACCTTAGAGAAGCGATCGCGCGCCGGTGGATCGCTCGAACTTTCCATTGAGTGAACGTCTGTGGTTCCGCTGTTCTGACTTCACTTCCGGTATCGTCCCACTACCGAGGAGTCATTATAGACGCCCGCGGCGGTGAGAGAGAGAAAGAGCCGGGATGGACGCGAACGACAACGGGGAGTGATTGCCGGAGCGAGCCGGACGAGATAGCCGGCGGAAAAGAGAGAGAGAGACGAGTGAAGAAACGGGAGAGAGAGAGAGAGAGAGAAAGAAGGAAAGAAAGAAAGAGAGAGAGAGCGAAAGGCGATGAGGTCGCAGCAGAAGGGACAGACCGAGACGGGGCCTCGGGATAATTTATTCCGCGCTCATACACGGCTCCGTGACGAGCGTCCGACGAATATCAAGCTACCACCTCGTCGAGCTACCGCCAACGATCTCTCCGAACGATCGCTCGGTCGGATACTCCCGGAGGAACGCGCGTGAACTCACGTCCACGAATTTTCGTTACGCGTCGATTTTTGTCGGAGCTTTTGCGAACTTCTTCTCCTTTCCCTCTCATCGCGCTGTATGCTGCCTCGAATAAATTATCCTTGTGTTATTGGGATTACAGACGGGAAAGAGAAGAACACGCGTTATTTTTTTTTTCTCCCTCCCGAAATCGAAGATCGCAACTTGTAATCCGTCCCTTGGCGATGATTAAATCGGAGTGCGCGTGCGTCGATCCGGAAGTGGGTTTTTAAGAAACATCCAGAAGTTTCCTCCTTATAAATGTGCGTGTATTAGTTCTCTATATTAAATTACACGGGATCTCTCTCCGAAGTTTCCTCGGTAGGAATGTGCTCGACGGTGGTTTAGGGGATTAATAGAAGTTGTGCGCGAGAGAAATTTCCTTGTATAATTCCTCTCGTGAACTTAATAACTCTAACGAAGTTATAAAGCATAACGTCCAAAGGGGAGAAAGAGAGAGAGAGAGAGAGAGAAGAAGTTGGACGAAAGTTTAATCATCGCTAGATATACTTAACTCAATAACTGCTCCCGCCCGATTCCCGACACTGAAAAAGACAACCGTTGTCAGCTGTTCCTTTGAGGAGAAGCAATCGACGTCGCACTTTGCCGCAACACACTATCCTCGTACAATATATAAATTATATAATTTTTCTAAAAATATTCATTTAATTAAGAGAGATATGTTCCAATGACCGAGCATTTATTAAAGAAATAATTGTTAGATATGTAAACATTAATCGTCAACAGTATTCTCAATGTTTCAAGTATTTTTAAGAGATATATTTTCACTTATTAGTTTACTAGCTTTACATATGTAAATAATAATAAAGTTGTTATTATTTTATTGAGGAAAATGTCGAGTCATGATGATACTTACTCGCGCATTCACTTTGAAAAATTTATTCGGAAAATATTCAGGACTTAATTTTCACAGAATTCAAGTTCTTCTTCGAGATCGCTCGGTTGCGTCTGTCGTTACGCTCCTGCGAAGCCGCAGCGGCGCAATTACGAGCGTCAATTTGAGCAACTTTATATCCACGTCGGCATTACGGGGCGAATTAGGGCCCCGCGATTCGAAAGAGAGAGAGAGAGAGAGAGAGAGAAAGAGAGAGAGAGAGAGAAAAAAGAGACAGAGAAAAGAAGGAAAAGCGACCACACGCTATTCGCTTCGAGCATCGAGATTTCCAACGTCGGTAATAACACACCACCGCGCGTAAAAAAACCAAAAAAAACCAAACGCGATCGAAAGACAGATTGGCGGCTGCCGATTGCGCGGGATCATTATCGGGGGATGTGGAGCACAGCACTGAAGATAAAAGCAAATCGAGCGCTCGCGAGGGGAAAGGCTTTTCGCGCGCGATGACCGGGAAAAATCGGCGCGCGCGGCTCGGACGAAGATGAAGAGGCTCGGAGCTCCGATGTTCCGTGTTTTAATTCCCACCTCGGATCGCGAGCGCGCCACATCCGAACAAGCAATGATCTATATCGTGTGTCTCCGCAACGCGCGTGAAACGATCACTAACATGCCGCGTTCCCATCGCACGCTTCATTTCGCGGAATATATATATACGTGTGTCGGAATTAAACGTATCTCACGGTCGTGCGCTTTCACAATCGGATATAAAAGATTTCAATTATACCGCATCCATTCTTTTTTAATTGCTGTCAGACTCGTTTCGGTCTCTGTTGCTTCTGCAAATGAGCGCAATCCGTTGATGCAATCGGCGCGCCTCTGCGAAAGATTCGCGCCGAGCTTTAATCTTGTTTCGCGATTAACTGTCTCTCTCGACGTAACGTTGTTGGTAATAAACATAAAAAAAAAAAGTGTATATACACTGATCGATCTGATTTATCTCGTATTGTCAGTAGAGAATATTACACAAAAATGATCTTTTGTTTGCTGATTTAAGAATTTTTTTATTATTTTATTCTCAGACGTATACCTTTTGGAGAACTGAGTGGCTGAGTCACTTCTCATCCGTATTGAATAATCAGAAAGAAGCATCTCGTACATAAATATAACGTAAATATATACATCGTACGAAAAAAATATATAAAACACTATAATTATTTAATTATTTATTTTAAAATATATTTATTTAGTTTTATTATTATATTCAAAAATATGTACGTACGTAGATATATTTAGTTGCGGATATTAACTTAACAAATCAATCGGCTCTCGAATGACTCGACAGCAAAGAGTTAATCGACTCGTCAAAAATCGCGACAACAATTCTTCGTTTCCGCTTGCGGGAAACGAGAGAAGCGCGCGCAAAGTTTTATCGTTCAGAAATCTCGCGCATATAGAAATCCGCCCGCTCACTATATCCTTATCCGTCACTTTGAAGCGTCATGATGGATCGTTGCTTCAACGCGAAATCGCTATCTTGCTTCTCTGCTGCCGCAAAGATCAATCAGCGGATAAGGAGACTAGACGACGACCTCCCTCCCCACTCCTGTTATTGACAGAACACGGATTCTCGGTTACGCCTACTTGTCGATTTTAAACGCTCGCGCGCGCGATCGTCTCAGAAAATCTCCCTTTCCGTTCGCGTAAGTTCTTACTCGCGCGCTTGATCGCAATCACAAGTTGATTTTTTTTTTTTTTTTTTTTTGCGAGAGCGCCGCCTCGCAAATACGGGAACGGTCTTAGCATAGAGCTGTAAAGAGCCATTGGTTGACAACGCGCTCGCGCGCTGCGGAAACCGATTAACGATCCGATCGAAAGTCGCGCGCGCGTTACGGCAGTTTTCTATTTTCTCGTGTCTCTCTTTTTTTTTTTTTTTTCTTTCTCTCCTCGCCTCGGTTAAACTCGTTCCCGACGAGAGAGAGAGAGAGAGAGAGAACTTGTGCGCGTGTCGATGCTTGTCGAGATTCGGAATTTTTAACGAACCACATATATATCGTGCCGCACTTATCCTTTCGCGGCCGGCTTGATGGCGGCCGCGCTCGCCATCCACTATCGATTTCTGCTATCGAACCTGATTATGCGGAGGCGCGTGGAGAAAATAATCTTGAGAAAAAGCTCGAGCGAGTTCTCTCGCCCCGACAGCAACGTGTACTCCCGGTGTGCGCATAAATATTGCGAAGTGTTCCTTCTTCCCGCTGGATTTTGTTTCCCCAATTGTTTCGGGATCGCTGATTGTCTCGATAAATTAATGACCGAACGAGCCGAGACCGCGGCGTAATCTTCGTCTTTTATCGATTTTAAAGAGTTGAATTCTTCGCTATATTTAATTAAAACAAAATCCGAGTGTCTCTCGCCTCTCGCGCGACTAACAAGAAATATAGACGGTACACACAATAATTTATGTTTTTTTCACGGGCGCGTTTTATTTTAATACTCTTTTCCTAAAAATTTGATTAAATCACGAAGGCGGCGAACGGGAAAGGAATGCTCTCTCTCTCTTTCTCTCTCTCTATTTCCGATTAACAATTTCCTCCGAGAGGTTGTTATTCGTTACATAGCCGTTATATAATTTTCCCGACGTTGTTATTTCTCCATTTCTCCGCAAGTTTCGTTGATTCTATCTCGTCAAGTTATCGCGCGCTATGTACCACTAGCGCGCGCCTAAGTAGTATTTACTACGTCGCGCAATTTTCCGCGGAACGGAAATAGAGTGTCATCCGAGAGACTGTCGATTAAACTATTTTCTTTGTTAAATTACATTCTTTTCGCAAATCGGTACATCTCAGCGAATCTTTTTACTTTTTTTTTTTTTTTTTTGTAAATACAACCGAGAATTCTTTTTTGGATATAATGTTAAAGCGCGATGTTAACATTGCAAAACTTCCCGGGGGCAGAGATAAAATCTCTCGAAGCCCGTGGAATCCTCTCATTAGGGAAACATCAACTCACGACGTCTCGCGGAATCTCGCGCGCGAAAAGATGAATCGAGAAGATATCGACGGGAAATCCTGCATCATTGAAAACAATAAATTTCGCGGATCTCACACGGTTTAACGTCTGATTAAAGACACGAGAAGTATAATAACATCCAGTTCTCAACCGATCGAAGCGTCGTTCTTCGTCATTCCCGTTAGTTTCGCAAAACCGCGTATCGCTCCAACCGCGCGAGGCGAGGATATAATATCCTCATATCCTGAAGGACAATATCCTCACGGCGATTTTCTAAATCCGAAAAAACAGCTCGGAACAAATCCCCGTGGCGCAATTTAACCGGTTCGCTGTATTATCGCGCGGCGAGTAAACAGCGCGGCGTCATCGTGAGATTCACTCTGACGTCGTCGCTCGTCGTCGTCGTCGTCGCGACAGGCTATTGCCGCTGTCCTTCTCCGAGTTTTGCGCACTCTCCTTCAGTTCTTTTATTAGTTTCGTCTCTCGTTACCCACGACACGTACCATACGTG